GGGATGGAACCCAGCCACACGGCAGTTGCTGACTCCATGTATCCCGGTGCCGTGGCTTTCCCGCACCGAGGCTGTGCCCGGCTGCTGCTGATGGATGAGCAAACCTCATCGTCCATCAAGCTGGACAGATATTCAGCCCCTCTGCATAGGCTGATTCACGGGTTCAGGACCCAGCCTCACCCTGCTACCCTCCAGCCACCACCCCAACATGGGTTTCATCAGTGATCCTTCCTGAGATGCCGTGTAGAGCTGCCAAAAAGTCAATTAAAGTGGATCCAGCCAGAGGAGCGATGCCTCAAGCTCCTAGACCACAGCAGCAAACACCCTGAGCACCCACCCAGCACCAGCCACACTCCCAGCCCAAGCCCAGGTCCATGCAGGGACCTTACCCAAGGCCACCTTAGGGCAGCCAGGCACCTTGCCCAAGCCTAGGGCGACCCAGGGACCTTACCCAAGGCCACCTTAGGGCAGCCAGGCACCTTGCCCAAGCCTAGGGCAACCCAGGGACCTAGGGCAACCCAGGGACCTTACCCAAAGCCACTTGGGACGCAGCACAAGACCCACCTGCGCACTTGGTGCGGCTGATGAGGGGCGGTCCCGGTTTGCCGGTGCCCCCCTCGCCGGGCCGGGTGAGCAGGACGCTGATCTCGTACTCCGTGTCGGGATCCAAGTGCCAGAGCTTGTAGGTCTGCATGTTGACGGCGTGGACCTCTGACCAGGGCCCCGAGGTCATGCGGTACTCGATCTCCTTGCGCACGATGGGACCGTCGCCGATGATGGAGTTGGTGTTGAGCTGGATGATGAGGTAGGTGGAGCCAGCCCGGAGCAGCTGGGGGGGGGCGATGGGTGTGGGGGGCTCTGGAAGAGAGCGGAGGAAGGGCTGGTGGAGCATGGTCCTCCAGAAGCAGCTCCACAGCATCCCTAGCCCTGGAGCCCGGCCAACCCCGGCACAACCACAGGTACCACAATTTCATTTTGTTTTTTACTAGCTGAGACAGTCTCTTCCCAAACAAACGCCGCAGGGCAGGAGACAAACTCAGATCTCCCACCCAGAGGACAGGAGGAGGTATGGGAGGCCCCCATCCAGTCTTTAAATTCCAGCCCGTGCACATGCCCTTCATCATTATTAGTAAGGCTTTAATGGCTACAATAGGGTTTCATCTGATCAAACCTTAATTATCGTTATAAGATACACTGCCCAGTGTGGTGCTGCACAGTTTCCCCATAATTAATTAACTTCCACCTACTGCAATCAAAAATAAATGATCTAAGGCCACTGGGAAAGGTGGTTTCCTGGTTTTATGCTGAACCATCCGTGCGTAGCAACTCATTGGCAAGAAACCGCGATTCCACCGCCCCGAGTATCCCACCTTCCTCTTCCAATAGCAGAGCAGAAATATCCCACCTGTGACCCAGAAAACCCAGCGGGCAACAGCAAAGTCACCCACCTTTCACGATGAGCTCGGCGAAGTTGGAGACGCCCGAGCCGCCGCGGCTGGACTGGGTGACGCAGCGGTAAAAGTCCTGCTCCTCCTTGGACACCTCGTCCAGCTGGAAGGTAGCCAGGAAGCGCCGGTGGCTGATGTGCTTCACGGAGGCGGCGGGAACCACCTCGCCGCTCTGCCTCTGCTCCGCGGGGAAGAGACAAGGCGTCACCAGGAGGCACGGCGTGACATCCAGAGCCACCGAACGCAGCCCCAGAGGACGGCTGCTTAAAAGGATGGGGGGGTGCCCTTCTCCCCCCTCTGCCCAGCAGGGTTTTCTCCACAAGGGGAGGCACAGAAGAGCATTGACAGTGGAGATGCTGCTCACCTGCATGAGGAACCGCTCGGCCTCGGCTGCCTTGCCGGCAGCCACGCACTGGAAGGTGGCATTCTGCCCCGCGTTGACCTCCACGTCGCCCAGGCGGGAGAAATGAGGTGCTTTGGCTGCCGAGGGATGCGAGTATTGGTATTGCTACCAAAATCCCACCGCAGCCCAAAACCCCACCTGGAGCCGAGCCCATCCTCATCCTCACAGCTTAGCCAGGATCCCTCCCCAGCAAGCCCACAGTGAAGATCCTG